GATGATGAGGAGGAGGAGGAGGAGGAGGAGGAGGAGGAGGAGGAGGAGGAGGAGGAGGGGAATTCATGAGAGGGGACGGGGGTGAAGGGAGAGTGAAGAGGGGGGTGACATGCGGTATCAACCTTTCCCTGCCATGGCTTCGGCGGCCTGGCGGTTCTTCTCGAGGCTCTCGAGCTTCTTCTGGTACGACTTGATTAACATGTCGCATGCGACTCGGTCTTGCCGGCAGCCCTGCCACATGTCAGTTCCTCACTTGCTCGCAGAAGGTATTTTTCATCACCTGCTTCCCCTGAGTCTTCAGATCGTCGAGAATGTCCTGTGCCATGGCGATTGACTTGGCGGCCTTCTGGACGGCGTTACCATGCTGCCTCGGCTCTGCGAGGACACTCTCGATCTCTTGCAAGCACTGACAACCAACCTCGTCACTCGACCTGCGGCAAACTTGCTCAACTTCACTCACTTGCTCAAGATCTTCTGCTAAGACTCGCAAGTTCTCCCCAGTCAGAACTTTGGAGCCCTCGATGAGAGGCTGCAGACAGGGAGGAAGGGAACAAGGTCAGATGCTGCACGACGACACGAGGCCATCATGGCAGACCTCGTTCATTTGACCGCTAGATTGGCGACTCATATCCGAGCAGCTCCTCCTCCTCTCCCAGCCCTATCAGATCCAGTCTGTTTGAGGTAAGTCAGCCGGAAAGAGTTTAACATTCGAATGGTTTCAGACACGTTGGAAGTTTCAACTTTAGAGAAGTTCTGAGTGATACAAAGTTTGCGAACTTGTAGACTATTGTTGTATCATCTGAGCAAGCGCTGTCTATGACCATGCCATGCCAACTTCCCAATCATGTACTCAGTTCTCTCTCATCTTCTCGCATGTGCTCACGTCTCATCTCCTGTTCCTTGTCTTCTCTTCGCTGCAACTTCACCATTTACAACTCCATTTTGCAGCTTCTCCATTTCGTTGTATTTCTCTAACGATCTCGTAAGTGCCTCATAACCGCCTCTCCAGGGACCCATAACGTCAATTGCAGCCGTTACACTGAAGAGTCACCGGATATAGTGAGGGGTCCATGGCAGGGGCAAGGGCAGTAGCGGCATGGCTGAGCGCTGCCGCTCTGTGTGCTCTTCTTGCTACCATGATGAAAGATGATATTCGAGTTATGCTAAAACAGGTGATGATGTCTTGCTGGCCCTATGCTCCTCGTCCTCCTCTTGCCCCTCCACTCCCCCACAATCGCTGCCTTGAATTGAATGATTTGACAATGAGCTGACGCTGTTTTCCCCCTCTTTCCCCGCAGAGATTGAATTTCCTTAACAACTATTCAGTTAGAACCGATGATTTAGATAAAATGGTAAGAGCAAGACTCGCTCTTCGATGCGCTCTAACGCTACTTGCAGCTGGAAAAATACAGGATCGAGAGGGACGTCGCGCTTGCTGCCATAGGCCACCACTCGCTCACGGAAGTACCTGCGCACGATCCCAAATCTGAACGAGAAAAGCTAAGAGAACTGAGGCAGCGTGCGATAGAGAAGGTAGTTTGGTGTACCTGCATTGCAAGGGAATGACATCGTCCTTGGGTGGCAGCTGCACAGAATTTCACGGGGGCGACGAGATTATTCTCTCGGGATCAAGGAAGGGGACCTCAAGACTGCAGCGAACCCTGACTGTGACGAGGGGGACGCTCGGCTCGGGCTTTGCGGGGTTGAGGTTCCATCTCCCGAAGACGAGGAGATGCACAGTGCGGAGGCCAAGGTGGAAAAGCAGCTCACGGCGAGAGAAAAGGCGGACGACGCAGAAAGGGCTGAGATCATGAAGCAAATCAACTCGAAGAGGCTTGCAAAGGCGCAAGTGCTCATGAAGAAACTCTCGGAAACAGATCAGAGGATCAACGAACTGGTCCATCACACCTTGAAGGTAGCAAACATCCTTGCCGCTTGGTTTGGCGAAGCTGATCCTCCGCAGGTGGCCGCGATGGCACCGCACACGCCCAGCGGAGATGAAGGATGATGTGTTGGAGAACGCTGCCAGAGTGCAGAGAAGAAACGCAAACCATCAAAAAACAACAAATTCTTTATTCTTATCGCACAAGCCAATCAACAAGAGTCATGCATGCCCGTCTTCCCAAGCGAACAGAAAAGTGAATCTCCTTCTTGAGTAAAATTCTATCTTATCATACGAGGACGAGTTCAAGGATTATTATACAGGACAACATCGCTACTTGGCATCAACAATGACCAAAGCACTTGGTTGCACCCAGAATGATTATCAGCATGACAACCTAAAAAAACAGCATCTTAAGCTTCATGCACCACGTCGACTCTAACTCACCGAAACAGAGCCAACAATGATGATCTGCAATTTCAAGTTGTGCCACCAAAGCTTCCTCTGCAGCTGTTTGCTTGATCTCTTGAATTTCAAGGCTTGTTCGCTCAAGTCGCCTGACTTGTCGACAAGAAGCTCGATCTTGTCACCTCGATCTAAGATCCTCTCGATGTTCTCTGACATCACTTGCTTGACCTCCTCGATCTCTCCCTTTACCTTGCGAATGTGATCTGGTGCGTTCTGTTCAGTCTACAAGCAGTGAGTGCGCAAAAGTTCAACATTACCGGCCTCTGGGTTGCTGTTGTAAAATTCCATCTTCTCGCTCAGCACTTTGCCGAACGTTTTGTTCATCTCATACGCCACAGCTCTACACAACATGATCCATGTCAACAACAACCTCACAAGGCATCTCAGGTTGACATTACGTTCCGAGGATGTCCGAATATTTCTCTTCGAACTGTTGTTTGATGTCTTCCAAGAAGGCAAACGCAATGCGGCGTTGGAAATCCTTGTTGGCCATGCAGATGTACACGATTCCTTGCTCGGTGATGAGGTGGAATACAAACTCGTCATATTTGTACGAGTGCTTGCCCTCTTGGGTAGAGTCGAACTTCTCAAGAATGGTTCTTGTAACCTGCTGAAAGTTCCCGCTCTCGCTGCACCTCAACGTTAGCAGAAGCCCGTCTCCATGTGCGCATTGTCACCTTGTGTGTTCGCAGAACACTGTAGTTCCACGACTTATCAGGCTGTACACAATCGACATTCTGCCAGCCGAAATCAGCATGAATGGGACTGAACAAGATTGCCTCAGAAGTTCAAATACTAAACGACTTCAAGACACTCCCTCAAATTAACATCAACTAGGATATTAGGCAGGTTATCCATTTGAGGATCACATTTCAATCACCACACTCCCTTCAACACCAACTAATTTTCACCCTGGCTCAGACCAAAACTCTGCAACACTGAACCTTTCTGCTGGAACAAACTTTCTGGTTTGCCTGGCTCGCAACGGAACCAGCTGGACAACAACCAAACAACTCGCTGCATTGAAAAATATCCTTCATATCATCGATCTTGGTCTTCATATCATCCTCCGATCGTAGCTCCTCTCCTTTCCCTCCCTGACCTCCGCCAAGCCATGCGCCCTCCTCTTCTGATTTCAATTCCACCTCCCCACGCATACCGGGCCCGACCCGGCGATGACGGTCCCCCTTGCTACTGAGATTGAAACGGTTTTCAACGGTCATGACATCATCAGGTGCAAGGTCGATACGTCGAATGAGTTGTCAGGGCTGACGGCAAATTTGGTAAACCATTGCCTAAAATTTGAAATTATGATGAGATGATAGAATTATTTCTAGTCATTTTGAACGTGTGCTACACTCCTGAAGTCTATTTTCAAAAGGTCAAGATTCTGGACTACCTCCGTGTTTGTCAACCTGAAAGTACCCCTAGTTGAGATAGGGAGTCAACTCATCCCTACCCCCTACCCCCTCTATTCTGGTCTATAACATGGTAGGAGGTTCACATTTGACTACCCCACCCCGCTACACAACCCTTTCGGCAACTCACACCGTGCCTGTCAGCACAGTCACCCCCACCCCACTCGCAACGTCTGATTACTGATCCCCACCCTCGCTTGTTCTGGAAGTACCCTACCCTTTACTAGCCTCTAGGCTCTTCTACCACCTACCCATGAACATATGGTTTGCTCCACCGTCACCTGTGATAAAATCACAGGTAAGACTACCCACCCTTTTCCCTATGCTAAACCCTACCCAGTTCAGGCGGTTGAAATGACCACCGGTGGTAGTTATTACCCCATCAAAAAATGATGAAATGACCGGTGTTGAATAATCATTCTACATTATGTCGGAAGTACCCACCCATAGATCGGAAGAGATACCCGTCCCCTTTTCAATGACCATATCCACCCACCTCACTAAAACGAACAAATATTCTTTACAATGGAGGGGTAGTGCATACACCCCTGAGATAAACGCATAGGGATAAGGTCACACCACCCCATTGTCAACTACCCCTACCCCCTCCATGGACGTGGTTGATGACCACAGTGAGCCAATACCATCCGCCCGCCCAGCCCCGACCGGGAGTTCCCTTGCTCGCCCCCGCTCCGCCATAACAGCTTCCTCCTCTTCCCAGCTCTTACTTCCCTCGAGCTTACTGCCTGACAGAGAGCTCCTTGACCTCTTACTTGTCGCACTTCCTTGTTTCTGCCTCACGTCTCTCGTCCTTTGGAAGAATCTGTCTTTCCACCCCGGCGTGACTAGTTCAACTCTGTTTTGACGAAACGTTCTACGGGACAAATATCTCTTCGCGTCCCCTCTTTTCTTGCAAACATCAATTCAATCTGACGTCATATAATTTCTTCAATCTAAGTCACGACATCCTCACATCGGGAAGGACTTCTAAGACACCACCCATGAACAACTTGTCGCGAAGGCTGGTCAGCCAAACGGTCGCTCATCAACGCAGATTCTCTCTCACTGCGCACAGAATCACCAAGCTCTATGTATTCGGCATGACAACCTTTGGCTTCACAGGCCTTGGCTTGATATTCGCCCAGCGAAATTACCAGCGACTCATGTACATGAAGGAACATGGCATTGATGACTTCGAAGGCCACGACCTGCCTGCTTGCGGATGCGGTGCTGGACATCTCCCTTGCAAGGGATCATCGTCTATCCACCACCATCATCCCCCCTCGACCTTGAGACACTTTGTGACAGGGACAGAACCACCTCACATCGAGCTGATGGATCGCTGGTTAGCTCCCATTGACCAGTGAGCATGCGTTGGTCTGAAATACAAAATTTGGGGATGGGAATCATTCCGTATTGAGCTTGGTAAGAGAAACTGGAAATTGTGAGCTGGACAAGTTGAGATCAGCTTCGTGCTCTTATTGGAGTTGATCGGGTGTCTATCGCTGTGAAGCTGTGCTGTATTTGACGACAGCACTCAGATTGTATTTACTGCATTTTTGTCTAAAGTTTGGTTGCAACCCTCTGCAACTTTGTACAACAAGAGATTCGTTGTTTTGAGACTCTCCCTTTGAATCTAGATCTACTGTAAAACTTACAGATCTGTAATGAAGACCATGCCCTTACCTTTGGTAATGGTTATCGAACCATTTGTGAGAAAATGAAAAGGTCCACCGTATGAAACCGAATAATAAGTCTTGCAAGTGCTATGACGGGTTGTGGTAAGATGCACGTGAAGAATAGCGAAATAGACACCACTTGCTCAGATTTCCAATGAAATTCACTGTACATCATTGATTGATAATGCATGAATGGAACTTGTCTCATGTAACTGAACTGGATCTCATACAGAAGACTAAGAACTCCGAAACAAAAAGATGGTCGTGCGATCGGACATCATCAGTTCAGTTTTTGATCCTTTGTCTCCACTTTCACTGTGCTTCGGCATCTGTTCTTCCTCCCTCTGGATTCACTCCGATGGATATTTCGCCTCTTCTGTGAACGCGCCTTTGCCTTCCCCATGGCCTTCCTGTACTTGTCAACTGCTACGTCGCTGTACACGAGAACAACCTTATATGTGCAATCATCCTTGTCGTAAAACATGGAGCCCTTCAAGTCATTGATAGTGTTCCCTCCCTTTGTCTTGGTGTACAGCGACATCAGGCCAGCCTGCTGCATCATATTGGAAGCATCGTTGCTGTAGTCCGATCTGCTCGCGTCATGCGCTCGCTTCTGCTTTCCGTTGACCTGCACAGCCTGCTTTACATCTCGCACGATTTCTGAAAACGCCTTGTGTATGTCTACCATGTCTGGAACCTGTCCAGGGTCTGAAGGTTTGATGGGAATGAACATCCCGTCTACTCGGAAATGCTCGTCTTTGCACAAGTAAATCATCCTCCTATCTTCAGCTGCTCTGTCCCTTCCTCCGTCTTGGTGGTAAACCCGCTTCAGCAATGCCATGGCTCCTCTTTTGCAGGCCTTTTCGATGAAGAGATGCCCCAAGCAAATCATCCTTCCTTTCTCTAATACGACGGAGCAGCCATCAAGACTGGACTTGATCAAGCAGTTGCACTCATCCGCTGGAGTTTCATCGCTGTAAGGCATGTTCATAGCTTCACCATTTGCATTATTCTGTCCCAATTCAGTCTGGCAAAGGCTGCTACCTCTCCTGCTACGTTCATGATCTGAAGCGATGCTCCCATCTTCATGGTTTGCAATGTCGTCAAAAGGGCTATTGACCATCAAATTGGCACTCAACATTCCATCATCGACAGGATAGACTCTCTCCAGCGTTTCTTCAAGGTATGTGTCGACAAGACTTGTAGATTGCGCGCCATGACACCCCATCATTTCTGACGAAAGGGCGACCATAGCGCCGATTTCATCGGGCAGGGGGGAATATCTCCATCGCTCATCGAGGTCGCTAAACATTTCAGAAGGAAGCTCCTCATCGGATCTGGCATGTGCGGAGGGCTGGATGAAGAAGTCTATGGTGTCAGTGCAGCGGAGGGGGGGAGGAGATGAGGGGATCAGGGCGCACGGGGCTGGAAGCAACACCATGACCAGATTCCTTGGCAGAAAGCAACTGATACCACCCCCTGATTTGACCATGAAAGGACCCGTTCGATTCCATCAGGATATAAATGTAAATTACATTCAAACATTTGAAATTTAATTGTGATATATTTCAAATTGTTGTGTCTGGCATGTTAAAAGTGATGTTATCAAGTGTTGTACCATGCGTCTTCTTTGGTGGAGGCGGATCTGATTTTTAAAATGATTAAAATCATCATTACAAATACAAAGAAGAGCTGGTATAGTAAATGGTACAAAAATTTGGATACAAAAGAGAGATATGGTTTATTATATTTAAATACAAGATTTTAATATAATTTTATTTGTACCAGAGTATATTTCTCACAGTACCCAAAACTTGTTAGTTCAATTGATGTCTGCACCGACCCCGCAAGAGCTCTAGGACTACTAGGACCTCTTCCTAGGACTAATGACCACCAATCCTAGTTGACATTTTGCTAGGCCCTATAGCATCACTCGCTAGTATTGTAGGGATAGTGATCTACTTCCTGGGTCCTAGGGAAGTCCTAGGGAAGGATGCCGCCCCCTCGCGATGCTGAACTGCCGTACACGAGGGGGAAGGGGAGGAAGGGGCGGGAAGGAGAGGGATATGATGAGAAGGGCAGGAGCATGAGAGTGCACGATGAACGATGGATTGATCGTTAGGGAGGGAGAGGATGAGGATGTTGAGAAGGTTGCATCGAGGTGCGTTGACCTGCTGTTGGACCAGCTCGGTTTGAAGGATGAGTAGTAGGGCTGCATGCGAGGCGTGAAGGATTGGCAAGAGGAAGCTGCGGATTATACCTTAACTTTGTGTTTGAGAATGAGGGGGAGAATGATTTTGGCGCTGTGAAGAGAAACATTGACTTTGTCTTCTTCCTCAATGCCATGAGCCCTGATGTGACAATTGAACAGGGGCCGGGCATAGAAATTCTGGTGCAGCTCTCACGATGAAAGCTGTTGCCAAGCGAGTAGCTCAATCTGCAGGCTCTGCCCTCTGGGCAGGAACAACTGGGCTGACTGACACGGGAGGTGGAGCAACTGACGTCATTGTTGTCCGGTGCGGTTCAGTGCATAATCTTGTGATACTCCATTGACGAGCTAAATCTGCAGACACTCGAACGGGAGGCTTGTGAGCACGAGCTTCCATGCTCAGCTCCCCAAGCTGTCGAAGCAGGACTTCATGGGCACCAGGGTCTCTTTGTTCGTGAACAACATCCCGACAGGCGTGTCGATGGTGCTAGACAGAGAGCTCATCTGCTGCTTCGATGACGGGAGCTACCGCGCGTCCCATGCAGACTTGGAGAGCATGAACTTGCGCTCTGGAAAGAACACGATTCGCTACGAGATGATCCACCCCTGTAACAATGATAGAAGATACACAGTTCGGGCTAACATCCATCTGTGGAATGTCTGGGACAAGATAACGGTTGTTGACATTGATGGGACAGTGACAAAGACAGATGTTGCCGGGTTCGGCGCAGAGAAGTTGGGGTACGAATACATCCATTCGGGGGTCTGCGAGGCTGTCACAGAGATCTCAAGGCAGGGTTACCGAATCCTGTTTCTGACCTCTCGCGCTATCACACTCGCTCAATCAACACGGGAGTTTCTTTGCACCATTGGTCAGTCGAATGGAGGGACCGGCATGCCGGTAGGCATTGCTCTGCCAGCATTGTTTTGATGTTGACATGTGTGGTGGTTCAGGAGTTTTGTCTGATTACAACGACTGAGCGTTTTTTGCCTTCCCTCGTGGTTGGTGTGCGATCAGCTGATAAGTTCAAGACTGTGGCCTTGCAGGTCATGAGCGCTGCTTTCAGTGCACACCTGTCCTGAAGACTTGTACAGGAGATCCTCAGAATTTTCAATCCAGAGATGCAAAGTATCAAGAGGGCAGATGATGTAGTCGAGCAGGTATGGCAACCTTCTGCCTTGTCCCTGTTAGCGCCTATTTCTCTCATACGCGTCCCTCCACATCCTCTCTGATTCTGAGCCGTTCCTTATTCCTGCATCCTGTCATTCGCTTTGCTTTGCAGATTCCTGGTTGGCGTCTGGATACCGCTCCTGTCCTTGTCGGAGCAGAAAAATGGGACAAGGTGAAGATGGAGGAGGATGAGTTAGGACGAGCTCACGCACCTCCAGCTCTGGCATGGACCCTCTGAGACGGAAGACGATGAAGCCAGCAACGCGAGCACGCATGCTGGGAGCGACTCGGACAAGGACAAAGATCGGCTAGGTGTGCCATTTATTTCGCACTCTCTTGCAGAATGTTCACACTTGCTCTTTCCATTCTTCCCCCTCTCACCTGGCTCCTCCTCTTGCTTGTTGCTCATTTTCCCTACACTTTCCCGTCTCACTGATATGCCATCACAGGAGGCCTTGATGCTGAGGACTCGGATGTAGCACAGCGCAACACCTTGAAGCGCGATGCCGACAGCTTCTCGAGCTCCTCTGGCGTCATGGGCTCCGGGTCAAAAGATCCTTCTGGCACGTTCGTGTGCGGGTTCGGCAACAGATTGACAGACACGGCTGCCTACAACGCCGTGGGAATCCCTCCCGAGAGAAATTTCCTCATCGATCAGTCATCCCAGGTCAGCCGCAATCCCTTGACTCCTCAACTCGTCTCCTTCACTCCTCTCCTTTCCTTCACTCTTCTCCTCCCCTTGTTTTCCTCCTTCGTTGCCTCTCTAGTTGAATCTCTAGATGTCTCCTCTGCTCTCGTCTTACAGTCCTGTCGACGTCACTGACCCTCTCCGTCATAGATAAGGATGACGGGTGTTTATAACCAAGTCTTCGATGGCTACACCGGTTTGCTCCCTCACATTCGACGCCTCCTGCCTGCTCTGAACTCAAGAGGGGAGCCTCTCTACCGGAAGAAAGGAAGGTAGGACCTGCTTTCCTCCTCTCTTGCTCTCACCGCAACTGGTGTCTTGTGATTGCATGTTCGCTCTTGCCCTTTCTTGTTGTGGTACTAACTTGTCCTGCTCTCAGAGGAACATGTCCGCTTGACTGCGACTGCGATGAAGTGGTTTTGTGATGTTTCGTATTTTTTCTTCTTCTGATCTTCTATGAACAAACGTTGTGAATGTGAACACATCCTCACAGTTTCCTCTCCTCCTCCTCTTCCTCTTCCTCCTCCTCCTCCTCTCCGTCTATCTCCTCGTGTGCTTCTACTTCGCCCGTTGTGCCATTGCTCATGCTGAGGAGCTCTTTTTGTCTCCTTCGGATCGCTCGCTTGTAGTGAATGGTCTGCCATTTCGTCAGCCTCATTCTCATCATCACAACATCTCAAACCTTGGGCCTGCGCCTCAGGTGCCAAACTCTCGACTGCGGGCAGAGGAAGCAGCAGCATCAGGTCAACCAGCGAAGGTGGGAAGGGGAGGAGAGAGGGATAGTAAGGCGAAGGACAGGGAAGGAGCAACGAAGGACCGGCAAGTGGTGAAGTAGGGGAGGGGGGCGGAAGAGGAACATGGAGGGAGCGGGTGTGTACCAGGTGAGGAGGAAGGGGATTGCCAACTTCGGAAGGTCTCTGCGGTCTGGTCTTGACCGGAATGTCTCCATGGCCCAACCGCAGGACGACGATAGGCTGAGGCATCTCAGTTGAGAGAGACAAGGAGAGTGAGGGGAGGACAGGACAGGACAGGACAGGACAGTGCTGGACAGGTCAGGAAGAGAGATAGAGAGGAAGTGGACGGGAGAAGAGTGGTGAGGCAAGGCAAGATCAATAGATCCTCACAGGATCTTCCGGACGAACGAGAGCGAGTCGTTCCTCCAAGGAGAGCTTGTGGAACTCTATCCAGTCATCTCCTCTCGCAGTCTCCTCTGTGAAGTGTGAGCACACGAGGGAGGAGGGAGAAATCCTGAGGGGGCGGAGGGGAGGGAGGGAACTCACCAGAGAGAGGATCGAGGTTGACCCTGCAGAATTTCCTCAGCTTCTTCGACATGATGCTGCAAGATGATCATCTCAGTGCAGGATGTATTCCTTTCCTCTTCCTCTCCCTCCCTCCCTCGTTTCCTCCCTCTCTTCTTGCTCCTGTTTCCGCTGCCCTCCTCCCTCTTCTACACCCCCTGCTCCCCACTTCCTTACGGGTCAATCCAAATTTCAGGTCTATCTGTCAGGCGAATGTAGGGAAGGAGCTCGTGCTTGACGTGTCTCTTCATCTTCATATGCCGCAGGCAGCGCCGCCAGGAGCGGAAACGAGCATCGCAGCAGGGACATGCGTACCGCTGCTGCTCAGGGGGCAGAACCTTCTCCTCCTCCTCCTCGTACGACATCCCCCATGGCCCGTACAGGACAGCATCCTGGGAGAGCTTTCCATAGGCTTCAAGAGGAAGAGGAGGCGGGGAGGAGGTGGATATCAGCACCTCGTGCCTCACAGCGACCCCGCTCTCCTCTGTCCTGTGAAGCACCAACTTTCGCTCCATGCCGATGGCGCCGCACATCAGCCTGGCGATGAAGTTGGGAGGAAGAGCTTCGACTTTCCACCCGTCCACCTCCACCAGCTCGTCGCCGACCTCCACCTTCCCGCTCTGCTCTGCTGCGCTGCCCCTCACGATGCCTACGACGAACACTCTCCGCTCCCTGTACTCGAGCACGAGCCCGATCCCTCCCTGCCGTTTCGTCTTGTTGTACGTCTTCCCGTTCCTCACAATAGGAGGACCGTCAATCCATGCAGGAGGTATCGCTTGCCTTCCTGCCTTGGAGGGGTCGGAGGGTCCCGCCATGCCACGTTCTCCATAGCCGCGGGTGCGGGGCTCCCACGTGCGATGGGAGGAGAAGGGTCGTGTCCATGGTCTTGCGTCGATCGCTCGATGGAACATGTTGCTTGCAATCATCGGATGCGACCTCGCCCTCGCACACACGCGCATGCCTCTCAGCCATGCCTCCGCCCTGCCCGCCATCGCTATCCGCCCTCCTGCCATGACCAGTTGCTGCCCCCGCTGTCTTTTTTGCTCTGCAACTTTCAATTAGTCGATTTTCTCTGTCTTGGGTCATACCTAGCTGCCTTTTTATTTGATAACAAAAAACGACATATATCTTGATGCCTTGCAAAGGAAATAAGAATTGTAATGAGGCGGACTCATATATTTCACTTACCACCCCTACCCCAATTCTCCACATATTCCACCCCATTCTTTCCCTGCAAAATCACCGGTACCAAGTCATCTTCAATACCCCACGTGTTCATCACCCCACCCTCCTATGGTTCATGACTTGTGGTGTCTACCCCTACCCCTATTTCCGTAGAGTATTCAGGGGCTCTCCTTCTGAGCTGTGACTAGGGGTGTGTACCCCTACCCCCTTCAAGGTGCTTTCGTAATCGAGCTGTGACTTGTAGGGGTGGATCCTACCCCAGGATCCAGATGCTTCATGGATGGGTGGTGACCCCTACCCCCCCCATCCAACTCCCCACCTACCCCCCTCCTCCCTCTTCATACCAGCTCCAGATTGAGTACCTGCCCCCACCCCTCTGAATCAGCAGGCTGTGACTGATGCTAGCACCCCTGATTTCGGTATTCGTGAGCTGTGACCTGGGGTACTACCCCCTACCACTTTATTTAGCGAGAATGACCCTCTAATTACTAGTGGCTGTGACTGGGATTACTACCCCCCACCAGGATCTTGCATGACCCCACCCCCGATGATGTGACAGGGGTTGATCCCCTTTTACCCCTTCCGTTCGGGTCATCTTCCAACAATTTCAGCCCGTTGGATAAAATCTGAAATATTGTTACTAAATTTCAAACCGTAACTATAATTTCTTCGAAGTTCTCGAAGGGATGGATCCAAGGGGGCTGCCGGCCGCATCTTTAAAAATACTTTTACAATTTAAAAATACTTGTAGCCTGGCCCCCTCCTCCCCTCCCCCCCGAAATCATCGCCTCCCCTTTCCCATATAAACATCCGCCCCTTGCTCCCTCCTCCCACTTCGCTTCACCGCTCTCCTCCTCCACGCTCTCTTACCAGCTCCTCCCTCCTCCTTCCTCCTCCTCTCATCCTTGAGAACTCCTACGCACAGCTCTTTCAACCCCTCGCTGCTGACCGCATCCTCCATTTGAGCCGTTTCGTACTCTCAAACCGCGTTGAATCTTCCAAAACAAAGTCTTGAAACCAGAACAACATGAACCGAGCCGCCCGTATCGCAAGTCCCATGCTCAAGAGCCTCCGTGTCCTTTCCTCAAGGGCCTTCTCCTCACATGCTCCCAGCCTCGACGCGATCCTGGGAGGGGACCTGAGTATGGGCCCAATCTCCCAACGACCTGCCGCCATCCCGGCTGTGCATGTTGAAGAGAAGCCGACGGACAACGTCCTCGAGTCAGCGTTCCTGCATTGCGATGCTCTAGAGCAGGCGCAGATGAAGGACCGGGCCTACGTGCTCTCCATGGCGGAGTCGCTGCTGGGACAGGCCAGCGCCAACTGGAGCCTGGAGTTCACGACGCTCAAGTTCGAGGAGCAGCAGGCGAATGCTCACCAAGTGGTCTCCTACCAGGAAAGGCGGCACTGGGACCTTGCTCTCCAGCTCGCCTGCGGGCCCTCCTGCATGCGCCACTAGACGATCGTTGTGCCGCCTTGTATTCTTCTCCTCCTCTTCCCTCCCTCCGCTCAGAAAAAGTTTTTCTTGATATTGCTTGCTTGTTCAATAAAGATTTTCCCGTAGACACAACTTATGCTGGTCCTTCATGGGTACCCTTGAAACATG